TTTTTTTTTTGTGAGTGATTGTCTGAGTTCCTTTCAGAAATTGTTTCGATTTTAAGTTCCTTTCAGTGATTGTCTGGTTTTGTAGTTTGGTCCAATAATTTTGTGAATAATGTTCTAATTTGAGTATGGAATTTTGTTATCTGGTTCCATTGTTCTAGATGATATTAACATATTATTGTCCAATTCTGATTCTGTAACTTTCTCTTGCATTAAGAATGTTGATGGTTCTGTTAGACTTTTGGCTGAAAGGGCCTTGCAGGAAAAATAGTTTTTTCCTGTAACTTGTTCTTCATGTAGCTTTGTTAGAGAGCTAAGTGTATTTTAACCATTTGGTTACCCTGTGCACAAACTTTGAGTTTTATGTTATTTGTCTTTATTGCTGGAAAAAAAAAGAGAGTGGAATTTTGGAATTTGGATATCTGAAACCATATGATGTTTAGAAACCACACTCACAAAACACTTCTCAATATTCAACTACATAACAGAGATTGAAAAGTGTTCTGTATCCAACTTATAAACTTCAAATTTCATAACAGGGAACAATTTCAAAGTTTCAAGTTCCAAAAACATTCATACATACACTGTCTTAATTCTCCAAAATCTGTGAACTTCAGAACATCACAAGGAACATCAAATATCACATTTTCAAAACAACAGAGATGTTTAAACTCTTGACAATCAGGCCCCAGCACTTCAATAGAGCTTCAAATTACAGGTTGGCTTCAAATCACAATCAGGCCCAAGCACTTCAACCAAAAACAGTCCCAACACTGAAAAACAACAAAAGAAAAACATCCACCAAGAGACACTGGAGGTAAATGTGAGGAAAACTAGCAGAAACATGAGGCAAACTAACAATTTAAAAACTCAACCATTTCAACATATACTACTACATTATAATCAAGGTAAATACGTACCATTCTAATTTGGAGATACCGTCAAGTGCGTTAAAGCAATATCACCATCCACATTTTCTTGTTGATGATAGTGCTCCGTTACTTGAGAATTTAAGTTTTCTTGTGAATTAATCACCGATCGACACGGCTTATATGACAACAATGAAACAAAAAAGTAAAATAAAAATATGTTACAATGTATTAATGCATTTTTCAAACACATAAAATATAATGATTACCTCTTTCAATGATTTTGATTTTTTGAACTTCCCAACATGTTTTTCGATCCAACTCTTTGGCCGCTTTGTTCTCCTTCTCCCGTCCTTTTTTTTCAAGCCTTTCATATTTTCAATTTTATCATCTATGTTGGACGAAGGAACTTCTTCATTTGCTATCTCATTTTTGGTTGTAAAAGCAAAAATTTGCTTATTACAATCATTCACCATTTTCTCCATGCAACTTCGTGTCATTTCATGAGCGGAAGCTTGAAGTGTCATCCGTAAGAGTTGACATTGAAGCCTTTGGACCCATTCTCCAACATCTTCTACCCCATCAATTTTTTCTTCGTTCAAGCATTGGGCACTTTTCACGCCTTTTGTCCACCTTCTCATTATGTACTTTTGTGGAATGCACATCACATCTTGAATAATAAATATTTTTAAGATATGACAACACAATATTCCCATAATTTCGAACTTTCTACAAGTACAAACGACCCAATCATTTGTAGGATCAAAGAGTACATTCATCTCATTTTCTCTTGAACCATGAAGACGAACCACATATTCATGCGGACATTGAGCCTCATTTTTCCTTTTTATCACCACTCTTAAAGCAGCACGAAGTTCAATTTGAAAAAGTGTAAAAATTTCAGGAGTGTACAACTGTGACACTTGCATCAACAACAAAGAATCATACGATTCAAGTGGAGGTATCTTCTGTCTCGCATCAAAGTCGGCTTTAAGCTCCCGCTCTCTTTTTTCATCCACAACCCTATCAAATTGTCTGAAAAAATCTGAAATATTCATATCACATTTTAAATAGGATTTCAAATCACTATTTAAACTCTCACTCAATTGAGTGCTTCTTATTCCCAGGGTAAACGCATACTTCATGTAACATTTGGCCCACTTCTCTTTCAACATATACGTACGCGATAGCCATTCATTATCGTGCAAATCATAATTATCAAGTAATTTTTTCCATTCTCTTTCAAAATCATCCTCTTCTAAATATTCAAACATACACTTCTTAAACTCCGTTAAGAATGAAGAGTCGTCTTTCATGCGCCAACCCAAATGTTTGATCCCATTTTGATTCAAGTGCCACGTGCAAAGCCCGTGTCGTGTATTTTTCAATACTTTTGCCAAAGCATTCGCCATAGCCGCATCTTGATCTGTAAAAATGGTTTGCGGCTCTTTATCGCCATGAGCATTCAAGAACGTTTCAAAAAGCCATGCAAATGAATCAGCAGTCTCATCATACAAAAGTGCACCACCGAAAATTACCATTTGCCTGTGATGATTAAATCCCGTGAACACACCCAAGGGCCTCAATTCTTTATTTGTGCCATAAGTGGTGTCAAATGTAATTACATCGCCAAAATCACCATAATCAACAATCATCCTCGAATCTGCCCAAAATATATTAGTGACTAATTCATCACTATCAAATTGCATTGAATAAAAAAATGAAGGATCTTTACGTTTTCTTTGTTCGAAGTATCGTATTATACTTCCCAACTCACCATACACCATGTTTTTTTCTCTTTTCGAGCGCAAGTAAGTCTTTTGATCTTCCAATATATATCCAACTTTATCCCAACCTCCTGCTTCTCTAATCCTCAAGTGGTGTGTTGCTTTTGGGGTGAGTCCGGCATCATGTGCCAAATCAATAGCAGCGGCGGCGGCCCGGCTCACTTGCCTATGGGACCTCAACATATGACTCGTTTCTGGAGGCTCAAGTTCATGATTATGTTCCGCAACGAACTCTTTAATCTTGTACTTTCCAGTCGACCTCTCCAAAACTACATTTAACTTAGCCTTGCATGATGTTCTTTCTTCCCATCGATGGACGACTCCCACCCTCCTTTTATCTGCAGCTCTTTTACCCTCCTTACGACAAACGAAAACTGCGTTATTATATACCCCATCCTTTTGGCTTTTATTGCGATAATTTATTCTAACCCCAAATCCCATCAGCTTCCCATAATTTTGCCAACAATCCCATGCTTCATCAAGAGTATTAAAAATCATTCCAACTCTTGGTTCATAGTTTGATGTCCGGCCGCTACTTATAGTGTTATCGTGCATCGCATCATCCACCAAATCTTGCTCACAATCAGCAGAACATATATTTCTCCTACATATAGGCATATACACATAGAATTTTAGCAAAAAATAAAAAATATACAATACACACATACCATCAGTTAAACACAAAAATATTAAATTAGAATTAAATTTCTTTACCTAAGCAAAACAAAATAATATTTTACAATGAACAACAATAGCATAGAAAAAAAATTAAAAAACTTACTCTGTAGGGTTTTTCTTTTTAGGCTCTATCTTTTTACCAATTTCATGAAAAAAATCATTGTCTGCTATTGGGTCCAAACACATTGAATCAATTTCGATATTTTTTTCGGACCACATTTCTTCCGTTGATGTGATATTTGGAACATCATGTTGCTCCTCCATCTTTCTGCTCACGCAAATCAAATCCTCCAAGAAATATATGCAAAGGGAAACAATTTAGCAACTGAAATACAAAGAGAAGTGCAATTTAAGAATTTAGAGTGATAATATTTCTTAAAATTTATAATATTCCTAAATTCTAATGCTCTGCACGAACCTTAAACATTTTCATATTCATAATGCTAACCCACATAAACATAGCATATAACAGACTACGCATTGTCTTGTCATTCTCACAAATTCGACAACAATCGGTATCCCAATCACTCATTTCGGAGGTTAAGGAGATTACCGGTCACCGGAACAAATCGGAGGGAGTTCAGCTTGCCGTCGCCGCTGCTTGTTGGACGAAGTTCAGCCGTCGAACGTCCTGTAGCCGCCGCTCTCTGTCAGTTAGTCAGTCGCCGCTCGCCTTCTTCTCCTCGTCACTGGCCGAGTGTGCGTCGATTGACAGAAAAATGGGATGTCGAAACGGAATGGAGGTCGCCGGAACGTAGCCGGTGATAAGAAAAAACGGGAGGACGAATTTTTTTTCAGCAAGGCATGGAGAGTGTGCTGCAGTGATTGAAAACGATGTTAATTAGGTTTGAACTGATAAAAATAATTTAATTTATCATTTATTTGTAACCATTGGATATAGTTTTAATTTTATGTGATCTAAAGGCTGTTATTAAACAGCTGGGGCTGCTGTTAGTGGGTCACAGCAGCCCCCCCCAACCCCTCCTCTTTTATCTTTTTTTTTATAATATCAATTAATACGAAATTAATATGATTGACACTCATCGATGGATCGACTTTTACTCGCCACTACTACCAGTTAGTACGTGAGGTTAGTCGATAAAAAATATAAATTTTATTTTGTCGTGCTGCAATGCACGGTTAGTTGAGCTTTTTTTTTTAA